GTGATCCCCGCGATGGTTAGAAGTGTGGTTATTGGTAGGGTTATAAATGATTCAATTTGATTAGAAGCGTGGTTATTGGGATAAATACTAAATTGATTTGTTTGATTTTGATGGTTGAGAAATCCATGCAAATTGTATATTATGGTCTGATTTTATTGATTTTATCGATTTTATGTAGGAGACCGATTTATTTGAATTTTTAAAAGCTAAGCTTGAAGAATTTTACATTAAAAATAAATGAAAAAGTGTGAAAATTGCTTTGTAAATGTTTTTTTTTTTTGAATTTTTATCACAAAAATATATTATTTTAGTCACTTATCATATAATTCTCAAACAATTAAAATATAAAAGTATTTAAATATAATATTCGGTCAATTCAATTTGTATCCATATAAAAATTTTCAAAATCAAAACAGACATGTCTATTATAAAAAATATATTGAAAATTAAAATTTCGGTCTGATTCAATCGATCAATTTGGTTTTATTGCCTTTTCTTACACCCCTAGTTATTGGCCAAAGGGATAAAGCCTATAATTTTGAGTTAGGTCATGCAAAAATGAGGGATACGACATTTTGTCATTGGTGGGGTTTATTGTCCGGTAGTATCCTTGAATTACCTAATAATTTTTTATTATTTGGTGATGTTAAAGTATTGTTCTATATCATTTATCACTTAACACTTATCACGTTATTTCTTAAAAGCTCAAAAAAAAAAAAATTAAAATTAAATCTTATTGGCCTAATTTGGGGAGTTAGCTATTTTAGGAGTCATTTGGCATTAGTTAATATAGTCAACTTTTTTGTATTGGAACTTTTTTAGCTTGAGTTTTTTTTGTCTTGTTTGGTTTTTGTGTTGGGACTTTATTGACTTCTATGAGAAAAAAAAGTATAATGATTATGGGTAAAAAGTAGTATTTTGTTTTTTTGTGCGTTTTCAGTGGAAAATTCTATTTTCACACATCATATTGTCTTTGTACACATTCTTTCTCACCCCACACACTTAGTAATTTGATCATTAGGTATTTATCTAAGTCCAAACACCTCACATTCCAAATATACCCATTTAATAAAAAAATGTGTGCACACTCTCATATTAGAGGAAATTCTATTTGCACACACCTATTTACCTCATTGCACATCATTTCTTAGTACACACATTTATTAATTTGGTTATTGATTATTCATCTACACTTGATGTTCCAATTGCACCCTAACTCATATCATTGTACGCACACCACCTAAACCTTCCTTCTACACCTTTACCCATTTCGGTTGAAAGCCTTTTTTCCACATACTTGATGTATCAAAATGACCCATTGACAATTCTATGAAAACAATGAGTACCCATTGACAATTCCATTAGAGGCAACGAGTTGTTCACAAATAAATCCTAGATACATCGGGTGCGGCCCGAATACTGGGACAACCCACCTGTCACTCCCACCACTGTACCTATTATCACATGTAATCCAGGTCTGATATGTAGTAGTAGTATTCTACAACTTTCCAGAAGCAATTAACAATTCCTCTAAACCCAATCAATCAACGGTCTTTTACATCATAATAGAGAATGTTGGACCATTTTAATATATTTTATTTATTTATTTATTTATATTGTTGTTGAATCTTCTTTTATTTTATTCATGAATCTCATCCTGTTCATGTAATGAGATTCATTGCTTTGGTGTCCTTTTGTTTTGTTCATGAATTAAGATTAATTAGAATTCATGAACTTGGTGATGAGTTAATGTTTGGTACACTCTTCCTTTTCTCTAGGTTCTTGGTCATTTGTATGTCTTAGTGGCCTATAAATAGTCCATCTCATCTACTCTTTTCTACATCAACTCACCAACTATTTTTCTATACTTGAGAGATTACCAGCAAAGAATGGTGTTTTTCTTAGTGGAGCTTTGGGTTCACCATCTTGTGCAGAGTTGGCCTGAACCATACGACAAGTGGTCGGGCTGTTGTATCCTAGAGGGGACAAGTCATAGTTTTGTGACTGCTGCACCGGTATTTGGGTTCTTGTCACGACCCAAACCCGCCCCTATGGGTTTAGCACCGAAACCGGCCAGTAATCCGAGATTACCAAAGGCCTGCTTAACAGTCAGACAATAATACAGAGTACAGGGGCATGGCGGAAGCCAAAACAGTAAATAAACGATGTCTAATGAGCCGTGAGTCTGTATGCAAAAGGATTTTTCATATGTATATACATGAACAATACAGAACAATATGTACAACATTTACAGTCGATCAGAACAGGGACCTAATCCCTGTTAGACAGTACAGTACAGTGCTATCAGTTTATACAGTTATTACATAACAGATACAGAGACAGACGGGGGAAATTAAAACACCCCTAAGCCATAGCTTGGTAGGTTCGGAACCTCGCAGTGAGGCACAGTGGTTGGCTTGACAAAAAGGGAGTCTAACCCACGCTCCTAGCTCCGGTCTGGTGCCTGTACACCTACATATATATATAAACAGTGAGCTAAAGCCCAGTGAATAACATAATGCGTAAAGAGGTTAAGAATGAATGTCCTTACAGTAATGAAAACAGTTCATTTAATCGGTATTTCAATCGTTCAGTTGTAACAGTCATATGCGGTACATCCATTAGCATAGCAGTACAATAAACAGTAGGTCTTAAAAGACCGAGCAGTCAATGATGGCCATCATAACAGTAAACAGTATTGGTTCCACATGGGAACCGGCAGAGATCTCTGTAACAGTAGCAGTAACAGTAAACAGTAGTTGCTAAGGATGCCACAATACAGTTTAGAATATAGGACATACATTCATTCAGTTGACAGTAACAGTTCAAAAAGCAGTTCAGCTAACAGTCAGAAAATATTCATCTTTGAACATATCTTTACACAGTTGTTACTCACAGAGTTCTGGGCTACAGTTAAGCTAGAGCGCGTCTCCAATTGCCAACCCTACACAGTTTACAGGACGAACATACACTAAGCTACACAGTTGGGAAAGATAATAACTTAATCCCTAATTTGCCTCAGTGTGTTCTACATCTATATCCTCATTAAGATGCCTTACATAATCTCCTTAGGTTTAGAAGTCTATACCTAACCCATTGCAGTTAGAATTCAAGTACAAAATCCAACTATATTAACATTTTTTTTTTTTTTTTGTGAAAAATCAATATTATTCAATTTTTTTACGTTAATGTTCCTTTGTATACTAGAACCATTACCACTATCTAAGGAGTTATTTGAAATGATTTAAATAAATATAATTTTTCACTTTTTATATAAAAAAAATATATGCAAAAAAATAAAAAAATGATGTAACAAAAAAGATAAAAAGATAAATAAGTTCACTTTTGTAGTGCACCCCAAATAACCCCTAACTTTCTCTTTCTCTTTATCCAGTGTTTTTCCTCTCTTTTCTTCTTTTCTTCAATTTTTGGGTGGTTTTCTTCTCGTTTTCTTTTTGCTTGCTTCTCCTTCTTTATCTCTCTTTTTTTTTTTCTCTTTTTTTTTTTGCTTCTTTGTCCTCTTTTCACCTCCTATACTTTGCTATTTTTGTCATTTTTTCTTTTCTTTTTCTTCTCACTTCTTCAACACACAATCCATACACCTCGTTTTCTTTGGACCATGGTCTCCCATATATCATCTCTTGCCTCATATAATTCATTATCTTCATTACCTTACACACACACACAATACACTACTCTGTTATCCCCACAATAGATGTATGTATGTGTAAATAAATGTATAAATAAAATAAATAACAAAATAAAAAATAATTAATTTAGAAAATAATTATATAAATTAAATTCCGAATCAATTGCTTACAGAAATTATAAATCGAGGCTTGTGTTGGACACAATCTCCTTAAAGTAGATTTTCCCCTCACTCTGATGCTTTGAGATTTACCGACGTCTACTTCCCAGGATGCAACGACTAACACTTAATTTGCAACACTACAAAATCAAGTCTGATGAACTAAAACTCTGCTATGACTCTCTCTTTTTCCTTCTAAAATTAAATGCAAAACAGATACAGAAACAGGAAGACTAAAAAGAAAGAGGAATGAAGGAAGGAAATTCAATTATCAAAAAATGCTAGAAGGCAGGCTATTTATAGAAAACCTGGTGGCTTTTCAAAATAGGTACCAATAGGAAAAAAACCTGTTCGGAACATAAACAGATCTGTTCAGAACAGGAACAGATCTGTTTGGGTGGAATTAAACTTGTTCGAGTGGACTTTAACAAGTATGAACCTGCTCAGGATCTGTTTGGGCGAAGGAAAAATTCTGGACCAATTTATTTTGAATTTTGAAACCAAAATTAAATAAATAAATAAATAAAATATGTACGAGCACGAAATAATCTTCCCGTATAATCATGTTGATCAAGTTTGCACTCCTCCAAACCTTGTCACTTTGCTTCCTGAAAACACAAGCGTGAGCTAGCCGACGGGTGTGTGCCGGATACCTCTTCGATGCCTGAGTTAGCGAATAGACAATAGACAATAGACAAAAAGCTCAATGTATTCGAGAGTAAAAATTGCGATACCTGTACATAGGTCCTGTCATGAGCTTTTATAGATTCTGCCTGGCACAATCCTAGCAGGATTCCAACTCTCCTTAGCAGAGTCCTGCTAGGAATTACACTCCTAGTCAAGAGTGCCTATCCTAATAACACTCTATTCACCACCAACCAAGTAAGATATTTTCTCCTTTGTCTAGGCTGGCGCAATTTAACCGAGCTAGCTTATTTCGGTCATGCTCTCAACTAAGCAACGATGTGATGGCATTGACCGAGCTACACCTAGCTCGGCCCTCCTACCTACAAAACACCTCGGCTAGCCGCCGGGGCTAGTTTTAGGTAGCTTGGTCAACCACTCCGCCCAATTTGGTATTCAGACAAAATGGGACCGAGCTATTCGAAGTCTATACCTCGATCTTTAGCCCGGCCCAGAACAGAGACTAAAGGATCGTAGCTCGGCCAATATTTCTTTATAAATTACCCTCTCAATTGCCCTTTAATTCCATCTGCAAAGCATGCTTGGGATTACGAACTTCGGGGCGAGCTGATGATTTCAGCCAATCGAACTAAAATAAGCAACACAACAGAGATTAAGATATTCAATCCCACCGAAGTTGGGTTATCTCAGTCCGTAGTACCGTGCCTGTCCCAGCCTGTCATTTCACGTACCTGACATCATGTCCTATCCGTGATACGTGGCACCTATCCATTGCGTCTCCGTTCTGCGACAGCCGTTACACACCTACCAAGAAATATTTGAAAGTCCCGTCGTTTTCGTGCCTCCACAAAACCTATTACTCAAATTAAACCCTCACTGTTCACCTTCTTCCCCCTTTCACTTCTGAAACCTACTCTTGTGCCTCCTGCGCTCCAGTTCCTATCTTTTTAGTTGCTCCCTTATTTGGCTGGATTTTGCTCTTACGCTTAAAATCGTAAGTTGTTCAATTCCTTTTCTTGATGTTCCTTTGTACTTATTTCTTCATTTTTAGTATTTAGTCTCCATATACGCGTGTTGAAATGCTTGAACAAACACAATGAACTTAAAATCCTTACTCCCAATCATAAAGGCTCACCAACTAGTTTTCAAAAAAAACACGTTTTGATCCATTCTAGTGTTTTCTATATATATATCTTTTGTACAAGTAAAGTTTTCCTTATCAGATGGTACCAATTAAATAGCCACGTCCTAGAGAACCCAGATTATCACTATTATATTGTACAATCATCTTCTTTTTTTCACATACTAAAGAATTAGAGTCAATAATGCTGTATCATATTTCTGAAAGACACAGAATCAATTTGATTGATAGTACACATTCACATTTGACATACCTGCTTATCTATTTCTATCAGGCTATATCCAGGAGTCTTTTTTAAACCTCTGTCCTTTGACATAGTTCTTATGCTGGCAGCATCATTCCATTTGCCCACTTCAGTGTATAAATTTGACAGCAAACCATAAGCAGTTGGGTTATCAGGCTCTAAATTCAGAAGTTGCCTTCCTATAACCTCACCCATTTGAGTGTTCTTATGAACTCTGCAAGCGGCAAGCAAAGCACCCAATGCAGAAGTTCTTTGTCTTAATGGCAAACAATTCAGAAGATCATACCCTTCTTCAATCTGTCCTGCTCGGCTTAATAAATCTACCATACACCCATAATGCTCTTCAATTGGAATTAAAAAATATTCTTCTTTCATGGACCTGAAAATATTTAGGCCCTGTTCTACCAAGCCTGAATGACTGCATGCAGAGATCAACGAAGTGAAGGTTACCTCATCCGGAGCAACCTTTTCCTCCTTCATTCGGTCAAACAATTTAAGTGCTTCAACGCATTTTCCGTGCATCCCATATGCAGCAATCATTGTGTTCCATGATGTCAAACACCGTTCACTCATGTGCTCAAACAGAGCACTAGCAATGTTTAGTTTTCCACATTTTCCATAAGTAGTAATTAGAGAATTGATGACTGGCATCTCTAGCTCCAATGAAACCCGATATATCCGACAATGAACTTCCTTTGCTAGACTTAAACATCCCAGCTGAGAAAATCCCTGAAGCAGGCTCAAAAAAGTGACAGAGTCGGCAGTTACTTTTTCTCTTTGCATCAGGCGGAAAAGAGCTATGGCTTTATCAGCACGCCCGTGATGTACATAACCCATCATTATTGATGTCCATGAAACCAAGTCTTTATATTTTGTTCTATCAAAGACTTGTCCACAAGAGTCTATGTATCCACATTTTGCATACATGTAGATGACTTGATTAGCTATTTAACTATGCAAATCCAACCCGTGTCTGAATATATATCCATGTGACTTTACTTTTGGCAAATTCCCACTTTTTCCTTCTATGCCCTGTTTTGAATTTGGATTTTGATAACTCTGTTTGCTAGGCTGATATGTGTCATTACTCCTGTTGTGCTGATGCAATTTCAATTTTCTCATTTTTTTGTTGAAATTCCTGGTAGGTTTGGCTTCACACCGGTGCTTGTTTGACGCCCTGATTCTAGCGTTGTAAGTCCCTAATCCCATGTCTCTCCTTTAGGCTTTTCTTATTGTTGATTGTCACCTTTATGGGTCATCCAATGATTTTTGGCCTCTGTTGGGTATTGCATCTGGCATTTGAGTTCTCCACCATTTAGTGCCATAAACCCAAAGACTTAAGGCAAACCATGGGTAAATTTATGAGTTTAGTCAACAATCCATCCAAACTAGCCCTTTTCCACGAGAAATACCATATTCCTGAAGATGTTACACTGGTGTTAGGGGGGTTAAACACACTTCGGTCACCAACCGACAACACTCTGCCTTTTCCCGTAGGAGCCATCGTAGAAGGGGGAGTTAGGTTCCCTTTGGACCTTTTGTGGCTCAAATTCTTCCATTACTTCAAACTCCACCCCATGGAGATATCCATGAATACTTTTAGGATTTTAGGTGGCTTTGTAGCCCTTAACAAATTGCTTGGCCTGAACTTAAGAGTATGAGACATACACCATTGCTATAATTTCTCCCATCACCTAAGTAGCACCTTCTACCTTAGAGTTTGGTCCAATGTATCCCAAATGATCTTAGACCTTCCTGACGCCGATAAACATTCAAAAGATTTCTTCACGGTATGAGGGAATTTCGAGTATCTGGCCGATGTAGAGGACCGACCAATGCGAATATCTTGTGAAGGGGGTGGTCCTGGTTAGCTTTTGTCTTTGATGCTTTACTCCCATACTTTTGATGTTGACTCTTACTTTTGTTGCATGGCTTTGATAGATGCTTCTCGAATGAAGAGAAGGATAAACAGAGAGCATCTGATCGACCTTGAGACTGCCTTCTTGTACCCCGACGAAGCTGTGACAAAGTTGCTTAATTACGTGGCCACTTACAAGCACAAGCTTAACGAGAGGAGGGTTCTTGTGGTTGATTACTTTAGAAAGTCCCTAGATAGGTCATCTGAGCAACAAGCTTGTGACAACACCGGAGCTTCTACTTCCGCCGTTGTTCAGTCATCAAGCGAAACTACGAGTGAGGACCCTCTTCTTGACAACCAAAAAGGCATGACTCACCAAAAGCTTGACCTCACAGCTCTTGCTTACGGTACAGACCCTGTTCTTGGAGTGGCTATTGTGATCGCTCGGCCTGCCAAACAAAGAGTCTTGGTTCCAAAGCAGTCCATACAGACTTCCAAGAAAGTTCCTTCTCTTATTCCATCTACTACAACCCATATTGAAGAACTGAGGGGTTCCAAAAAGAAGAGAAATAAAGGAAAGGATGTTGTTGAAGGCTCTGAAGAGCAGACTTTAGCTGATGAGTGGCTGCCTCCTTTGGAGTATAAAAGTTAGCTTATTACCGTGGCTGATAGCGTGACAGATTCTCGTGAGCTGACATTCCATCTATCCAAGGCATTGCTCTTAATAATAGACATGGTTAAGTGTAATATGGATTCTGAATCTCTAATCAAAGGATCTATTCAAATGGTGACCAAAGTAAGTGTTCTTCTCTTGATTTGATTGTTTTCTTTTCCTTTCTCCATAAACTTTTCTGAGTGTTTTATCTTGGTCCTTGACAGTTGGCCTAGAGCTTCATGTTTTGGAGCAGCGTCACCTAGAGCAAGTAACAGACTTCGACCGAACTACGAAGGTGCTAGCTGATGTCGACCTTACTCTGAAGTCAGCTGAAGCCGATCGGATAAGGATCAAAGAGGAGGCTGCCACTGCTAGGGCGTCAGCCATTGCTAGGGAGAAGACGTTGTTGGAGGCTGAGAAGACTGCTATGATAGCTCTGCTTGCCAAAAAAGAAGCCAAACAAAGAAAGGCTGAAGTGGAAGCTGAGCTGGAGGCAATGAAGGTCAACCAAGCTAAGCTTATTGAAGAGGCCAACCAGAGTGGCTGTGATGAAGCTGAGGCAGATTATGCTCAGCAAGTGCTGGAGCTGAGGGATGTCTTATTTGTCAAGGGTTGGACGGGGGCCCTTCGTGTTATTGGAATTGATGAGACTTCTACCTTCTTTGAGGACATCCCCATTCCATCTAAGACTACTACTGCAAGGTCTGCTAAAGCAAATGAGACGTTAGTGGCTGAGACTTTGGAGGCCACCCTTTCTGTTTCCCCCCTTCGTCTGCCAAGCCCTATTTCTGGATGAGCAAAAACAACCTTGTGATGAGGCTTAGAAGCCCTTTACTTACTTTTTTTTTTACAAGTGTTAGAGTTCGGCTAGTTAGCCATCGTAATTTTGTAAGGTCGAGCTCCCCCTTTTGTAATGGACACTTTATAGTAATGCCATGCTTTGTTGAATTTTTTTGTATGTCTTGAACTTCATTCTTCAATTTTTGCTTGAATATGTTATGCTTGCCCTCAGCCGAGCAAGGGCTCTGTAGAGAAGGAAACCGCTTGTTTGGTCTGACTGGGCCTTGTGCTTTAGAAAAATTAGAAGAAAGAATTTTTCATGTCCCCCGGCCGAGCAGAGGCGCCGTAAAAAAGGAGGCCTCCTGTTGGGACAAACTAGGCTTTGTGCCTTGGAAAAATTAAAAGAAAGAACTTTTCATACCCTCAGCTGAACAGAGGCCCCGAGACTACATAGGACGTTTGATCGGGCAAATCAGGCTTTGTGCCTTAGAAATGTCTAGTTGGATTCGGCCGAGTATTTCGTTGCTCAGCCTTTACTTGATTTGGTTTAACTTATCCTAGAGTGTAACCCAGCTTTTTGTTGAGCGCGAGTAGTTACCATGGACTGTGCTTTCAAGTAACGATACTTGGCACAAATTCCACCAAGCTATACCACTTGGCGCCCTACTCCTACCGAAGGGCTGAGTTTGCAGGCTGGGTCGTAGGTTAAGACCCGTAACCCGTTCTTGCTCAATAGCCCAGCGAAAATATGTACAACACATATGAAAAAGAACACAATTCTTAGGGAAAAGTTAATTTCATTGATACTTAGAAAATTGCAATTACATTCGAAAGCTGTTTAGATCATTACATCACTGATAATATTTCTTCAAGTTAGCAACATTCCAAGGATGAGGAATGGGCTTGCTTGCTAGGTCAGTCAAGTAGTAAGTCGCGTTGCCCAAGGCAGAGGTAACTCTGTAAGGCCTTTCCTAGTTAGGGTCGAGCTTCCCTTCACCAGGGACCTTGTTATGATCCATGACGTTTTTTAGCACCAGATCTCCAGGTAGAAAATTTTGAATTAGCACATTTTTATTGAAATTTCTAGTAAGTTTTTGCTGGTATGTTGCGAGACGAATGAGACCGGCCTTTCTGCGCTCCTATGCCAAGTTAAGAGCTTGGGCGATAGCCTCATCATTGTTTGTTAGTTCAAAGATTTTAGACTGAATAGTGAGAAGGCCAACCTTTAAGGGGATTATGGCCTCTATTCTATAGGTGAGGGAGTAGGGCGTCTCCCCTATTGATCGCCGTGGTGTTGTTCTATACGCCCACAGAACGTTTGGCAATTCTTCCACCCATTTGCCTTTGGCCTTCTCTAGCTGCTTCTTCATTCCATTAATGATCGTCTTGTTAGACACTTTAGCTTGACCGTTGCCTTGAGGGTAGACTGGAATAGAATTTCTGAACTTGATTTTTCAGTCAGAGCAGAATTTTTGAAAACCTTCCCATCAAACTGGGTGCCATTGTCAGATAGTAGGGCCCTTGGGATGCCGAACCGAGTAATGACATTCCTCCAAATGAACTTTTTCATGTCAGCTTCCTTTATGCTTGCTAAGGCTTCAATCTCCACCCACTTAGTGAAATAGTCAGTGGCAGTAACAAAGAACCTTTTGTTAGCAGTACTTGGGATGCCGAACTTTTTGAATTTCTGAACTCGATTTTTCAGTTAGAGCAAAACTTTTTTGAAAACCTTCCCATCAAACTGGGTGCCATTGTCAGATAGTAGGGCCCTTGGGATGCCGAACCGAGTAATGACATTCCTCCAAATGAACATTTTCATGTCAGCTTCCTTTATGCTTGCTAAGGCTTCAATCTCCACCCATTTAGTGAAATAGTCAGTGGCAGCAACTAAGAACCTTTTGTTAGCAGTACCCCTTGCTAGAGATCGAACGATGTTCAGGCCCCATTGTACAAATGGATTGGTGAGGAGAGATAGGTACTTGGCTGGTTGATAAATGAGTGGGGCAAATCTTTGACACTTGTCGCATTTTTGGATATACTGTTGGGCATCTTCTGCATACGCGGCCACTAGTACCCATGAGTGAGGGCTCGGTGTGTCAAGGATCGACCTCCAGTGTGACTATCATAGATCCCCTCATGGATTTCATAAAGAAAGTTCTCTACAAGACTGGGGTGAACACAAAGAAAATATGGACCTAGGTAAGATTTCGTGTAGAGCTTGCTCGAGAGTGAGACCCAAAATCGCGTAGCTCGGTGCCTTGTTTTATGTGCTTCTTTCTTGTCATCTGGACAGATGCCATTTTTGAGAAAAGCAAGGAGTGGGTCTATCCAGCTCGGACCAAGGTCAGTATAGAGGACCGAACTGGCTGGATCGATAGTCGATTGAGGAACAAACTAGACCCATATCTTGCGGCCATTTCTAGAATCCATCAAGGAGCCAAGATAAGCAAAGGCATCGACGCGGCTATTTCTATCACAACAAATTTTCACAACCCTGATAGCTTGAAATTTGCTGATCAGGTGCTTGGCTTGTTCAGCATAGGATGCTATCCGATTATCGCGAGTTTCGTATAGTCCAGTCAGTTAGTTTACCACAAGTTAGGAGTCGCTATAAACAAGCAATTCCTTTGCATT